TGAAACAAGAGCTCAATGCATCAAGAACAATATGTATCACCGACAAAACCTAACCTCAAATGTTATTCCAACACTACCTCCCCAAACTTTGACTCCCAACTTATGTCTAAGCTTGAAAAACATGGATTCTCCACGTGCCTTTGTGAAAATATCTGTACATTGGTATGCAGATTAAGTTGATTTTGCCATCTGTTGTTTTCTTCTGAACAAAGTGATGTTGGATGTCATGTGTTTCATCCTGGAGTGAAACACTGGAGTTTTTGACATGGCGATGCTTTTGTTGTTGCAGAATAATAGAGTCAGTTGTGACTATGCTTGTTTCAGGTTAATTAGCATTTTTTTGCCGATGATGCCACCATGTATTCTACCTTTGAACTTAAAAGTGCAACAGTGACTTGTTTTTTGCTAGTCCATGACACTGGTGCTCCCACCAACATATAGCAGATTCCTGTTCTGGAAAGTCTCATGTCTATATCCCCTGCCCAATCTGCATTTGAGTAGTGATCTGGAGAGCGATGAAAATTGATTCCCAACTCAGCTGTGCTACAAAGATATCACAAAACTCTCTTGGCCACTTGCCAATGAGCTACATTTGGTGAAGAATTGAATCTTTAAATGAGATATTTGATCATGTACTGTTAGCAAATTAAAGCAATCCTCCAACAAGTGACCTGTACATGCTTGCATCTTTGAATTGTTGATCCATCTCTTTGGAGAATTTCATGCCAGCAACCATGGGTGTAGGGGCTGAGTTGCATTTGCTGATAAGCAACTTAGAAATGTACATGGAGTGGGACAGTTTGATTGAACCATCTTGTCAATCACGTATACTTGTTCAGTCATCTTGAATCTTAACTTAAACTTTTCCTTAGTGCTGTTTACGAGTTTAAGTTGCCAACAAGTAAACAATCATCAACATAGACAGCAATGATCACAAAGCCTATATTTCTTTCCTTTTGATACAAATTCCCATCAGAATTCAATCTGATGAAACCTTCTCCTCGAAGAAACTTATTGATGCAATGATACCATTGCCTTGATGAGACTCTAGACAGCTTTTTCTTAGCTTGCAAACTAACTCTTGTCCATCCCAATCATTTGAAATTCTGACGGCTACTTCATCCAGAAGTCCTCTGCCAAAGGTCCATTCAGAAAAGTTTTTTTCACATCAAGATGATGTGCTTCTAAGTGGTGTTGTGTAGCAAAGGTTAGCAAGGATGCTGGTTGCTTTGACTATCAACGAGAATGTCTCGTGATAATCGATTCCTACTACCTGAGAATAGCTCTATGCGACATGCCTATCTTGTATCTCTTGATGTCTCCATTTGTCACCAACTGTTTCACGTCTTGAAACCTTAGGCACATACTATTTTGTGCATAAAAAGCCATTTCCTCTTACAGTGAGCCTTTTCTCTAGAAGCCAAAACAAATGTTCATGTGCAATGTTGACTTCAAAGAAGCCATAAAAGGGCAGGAAGCATAATGGAACTCTTCCCAGAACTCCCCATCACAGTCCGCCGGTCGCGCATGACAAGGACGGCACAGCTGAGCTCAAGCGGCTGGAGCAGATTGACCCCAAAGCGGTAGCTTCCGTTGCTCGAGCGCGGCGGTGCATCCATGCTGCCTGGTTCAAGGACAATCCCAGGCAAGCCTGCATAGCTGCTCTCGATCTCTACGCTCGCACCAAGAAACCTCGAATCAAGCCCTCGCGCGAGTAAAATGCGGGCGGCAGCGATCAGGCACACAATTCCTCGAAATCTTGAATCGGACTCGTGGCATTCATACCACACCTTACAGCCTTTATTAAGTTACATATAGCTTTAAAAGATAAATGGAATGCACAATATCTGCAAACTTGAAGATGTTCCTAGACAAAAATTATTGATACTTGTAGAACTGATGCAATTGACAGTTGTGGTGGTTGCTGACGATTGTTTGAGCTAAGCACACAGGCATCTTACGATTTGAAATACTGCGCACAAGCGGGGCACATGAACGGTACCTGAGTGACACAGTTGACTTCGTTTCTACGTTCTTCCCCTGCTTCTTCGACTAGATCTGCCCCCTGTTCTGGATCCACCACCAGTGCTGGATTGTAGTGGACACAAGGCTGGTGGTACCACAGGTCACAAACGTCACACTGCACCCAGGGAGCATCGCCTCTATCTTCCCAGCAGTCGGAGCAGCTTTGCAAATCCTGTGACAGACGAGAGTTCCATTAAAGAGGAAAAGGAACAAGAAAATAAAAGACAGCATACCGTTCTGGCTGTGTTTTTCCTGAGCTCGTCCAGCGTCTCATCAATCCTCGAAAGTTGTACACTAAAGAAGCTGAAAGGCATCACGACAACATAATACTCGAGGCCAGGATGCACTCTGGATGTTGCTCGGTATGAGACCCACCTGTCCGTGTAAATCACCCACACAAGCACCTTGATCCGCTTGTCGCCAACAAACAGTTCCTCAGCCTTCTTTGCCGTCTTCTTGTGATGAGTGATGGCGTTCTTGGCGACAGAAAAATGGAGAGCCACGATAAAGTTTTCGTCTTCCAAGTAGGTGTCAATGCCAGCGTGGTTAAAGTCGTATGGGACATGCATTGTTCCTTCAACGGAGAGCAGCTTTCCGGACATTGGTCCATGGAAGTTGAGGACGTGCTTCACTGTTATGTGTGCTCTTTTGCCTTGTGCGTAATAAAAGCCTTGAGTCATAAACTTTGTGCTGAGGATTCCCGCCATTTCGGCATTCCAGCCGATGCGAGCCATGTTGTCGTCCTTAGCAACGGCTTGTACCCAGAAGGTGACCTGCTTCCGCTGCTCATCGAGGTCATCCTCGCGCATGAGTCCAGCTAAGGTGCTAAGCGCATAGGAATGAAAATGAGGGGTGAGAGCCTCGAGCGTTCCATCTTTGCCCACGTAGAAGCACTTGGGCTCTAGCAGCAGAGGAAGCCTTGGAACTGTTTCTGTGCCCGTCAACTCTTTCTGGAGATGCTCTCGAACGTTCCCTCCCAGGTGGCGCTGGATGAACGTACGTATATCTGCCTCAAATGATATGATGCACTGGTGGAACACTTCCATGTCTGTGTCGAATTGATCCAGCAGCCTTGGAACTCGACCTGTTTTAGACAGATCGACGCGCTGGAACTGAAAGAGGTTGAGATAGGATGCCAGTTCTTTGTCCTACAAAGCGCACACATCTCAGAATGTGAAGAACAAGACGCCTAAGAACTTACATTCAGTCCTCCAACAACCAGCTTGTACTGCGGGGCCTTGGGATGACGAAGGACTTGCGTCCATACACTTGAAATTGAAGCGCAAAAGACGACGACACAATACTCGAGAAGGCGGCAGAGAGATTGTACCCCCGGACTATCTCTCGCCATGTTGCCGTCATCAACGACAATGGTCAGGTCCACATTTATCATCCTCTTCAAGAAGTTTTCCACGTCGAAGATCGATACTTGGCCCGCCTCTATCGCTTCGAGCTCCTGCAAGGCAGCGTTGTCGTCCACAAAAGCCTGAAACAGCCCATCCCAGAGCGTATTCTCCGGGGCCCAGGCCATTTGAGCTCCGTCGACCAGCATAATCCGACGCGGCCGAGACGAGGAGCCGATCCTGTCGCGCGCGAACTTGCCATAGAGGTAGAGCACAGACGCTGCGACGCTGCAACTCTTGCCAGCGCCCGGGGTGCCCGTTATGTACCTGAAACCGTAAATACCGTAAGGACGAAGCTGCTTGCGACCGCGCTTTCCTGGAGGCGAGACTATCTTCGATTCTGGGAGTTTGACCTCGGGGCGCTCCTCCTCTATGAAATCGATGAGCTCCTTGGTGAGAGGCCTGCCCATGTAATCAAACGTCGTCCGGTGCGAGAAATGGTAGACTTCCATAACCTTGGTCGGATCCTGAAGATCGGCTTCAGTGAGCAGGGCGGAGAAAGCCATGAGCAGCCCATGGATCCTCTCCGCATCCTCACGACGGACATCCACAACCCTCTGGCGCTTGACACCGCCGCCGTCTTCCATCCCAATACAAAAAACCCTATCCAAAAACCCTAATAGTGCAGAGACGTTACGAAAGGAATATATGTAAAAAATAAAGAATTTTGGACTATTTTCTCCCCATTTGAGTTGGCTATGGTGTGTGAGCTATGGTGCTCACCACTATCTCTAGGAAGCTACCTCTCAATGTCTGTGACCCAGATTATTTACCTTGAGAGCTATTGAGAATGCTGAAGCTGTGCTTATAGTTTGAAAATATAAACTATAGGTGCAACACAATTTGCACCTTATCATTTTATGTCAAATCCAACATAGCACTGCCACGATTGAGTTGCTTTGTCTAGGACAAACAAACTCACTCTTATTGGCCACTTCACTACTAGATATTCTGCAACATGGCTTATTATCGCCAGGTTATTGTTTTGCATCTTCATTTCTCTTTCTTGTTTTTTCTTCTTTCAGTCTCTGGGAGGCATATGTATTCCTTTTCTCTTGAAGGAATGTTTGGTGGTCTACAAAATGATATAGGATTGTAATAGTTATCTTTGCCACCACTTAGGATTTACATTCTCTCCATCTATTCCTCCTTTTATGTCCATTGCAATCCTAGACCTTTAGTCATAAGTTCCACTTGTTTCCTCTCGAAAGGAATCTCCATTCCTTAACCAGGATGCCAGTAGGTATGGATCTCTATGTTGCTTTGTTTATCCTAAATGATCATCCACCAGAGCTGCTGGCAACGATCAAATGGAAAGTTCCAAGGGATAATGCTGGCCTGGCTGCGTGAACGATCAAAGATCGTAGATCAGGTTTCGCCACTCTCCCTATATCCTCACCGTCTTTGCCTGATTTCTCCCAAACCAAAAGAAGCAAGTCTTTCCTTGTGGGATTTGATTGATAAGTTGGAGGAAAGCGAAGTTGCTGCTGGTGCTATTGTTCTTCATTTGAATCGTCTGTGTTGATAGGGCGCCGTCAAATGCCAGTATCCGGTTTAGAGCTAATCTGAAAATACGCTAAATATAATTTTTGATTAGAACCACTCATTTAATTAGGATAAAAACCAACCCAACAAAATTTACAACAGGCAAAATTTGGCTGTCCATTTTATATCAACATCCCCATCTTCTTCCGAGCAGCCTTGAGCTCCTCGCCAACCTTGGAAGTGTCTTCCATCAGAAACTTGTCAATCTGTGCTGCCGCTTCCCTCCCTTCGGCAATCGCCCACACAACCAGCGATTGTCCTCTTCGACAGTCACCAGCGGCAAAGACACCCTTGACATTTGTAGCAAATTTGCCATACTCTGCTTTAAATGTGGTTGCTGCATCATTGGTAGCCACTTTGAGCTTCTCAGCTACGTCCTAGAAAGTAAAATCGTCAGCTGGAATGAAAAGAAAAGAAGAATTTAGCTCATTTCACCTGTTCTGGTCCCACGAATCCCATGGCCAAGAGCACCAAATCTGCCTCTATTATCTCTTCCGACCCTTCGATTTCCTCCCTCTGGAATCTCCCACTCGCGTCCTTAAACCACCGCACCCGTTTGAGCACCAAGCCGCTGACACGGTTATCACCATCGGTGATAAACTTCTTTGTAGTCACCTCGTACGACCTGGGGTCACTACCAAACTTCTCCTTTGCCTCGGCATGCCCGTAATCGACGCGGAAAACTCGTGGCCACTGCAACAATCGCGAGCCGTAAGGAACACTCCAACACAGAGACGAAAGGACAAGAAACTCTTACCTGTGGCCAAGGATTCCCCGGTGCACGAGTTGCAGGAGGCTGAGGAAGTAGCTCCAGATTTACAACGCTCTTGCAGCCGTGGCGGACTGCAGTGCCGATGCAATCTGTGCCTGTATCGCCTCCTCCTATCACCACCACCTTCTTGTCTTTGGCGGATATGTAGTTGTTGTCCTTGAGCCCCGAATCCAGCAAACTCTTGGTATTCGCGTGAAGAAACTCCATCGCAAAATGTATGCCTTCATATTCTCGGCCTTCTACTTTAAGGTCCCTGAAGAAAAACAAATAAAAAGATGGTTAGATTTAGAAACAAGTGAAGAATTCCATACCTGGGCTTAGTAGCGCCACAAGCAAGTAGTAAGCTATCATAGTCGGACATTAACCTCTCCACCGAGAATAACTTGTCAACTCCGACATTCGCATTAACGATGAACTCGATCCCTTCGGCAGCCATCAGGTTCACTCGCCGTTGAACGACCTCCACTTTATCGGTCTTCATGTTCGGTACACCGTACATCATGAGGCCTCCAATTCTATCCGCTCGCTCAAACACTGTCACGGAGTGGCCGGCCTTATTGAGCTGATCAGCGGCTGCTAGACCTGCCGGACCGCTACCTACAATCGCCACTCTCTTCCTGTAAAGAGACAACGACGTGAGAAACAAACGACGTGAGTAAAACTTGTCCCTACATACCCGGTTCGATAAGCTGGCGGACGAGGAACCATCCAACCTTCCTCAAAGGCTTTGTCGATAATGGTACACTCCATCGTCTTAATAGAGACCGGGTTCTCTATAATTCCCAAAACACAGGCACCCTCGCAAGGAGCAGGGCACACACGTCCCGTGAACTCTGGAAAGTTGTTGGTTTCCAGGAGCCTGTCCAAGGCTTCCCGCCAACGACCTTGGTGAACAAGTTCGTTCCATTCCGGAATCTTGTTTCCAAGGGGACATCCACTATTATCCTGCAGATACAAAGAGATGACTAAATAACATAGATGAACTGGAGGGGAAGTCATACCTGGTTGCAGAATGGAGTGCCGCAATCCATACACCGGGCAGACTGGGTTTTAAGGAGGTCATCATTCCTGGCGGTAGCAAGGACCTCATTCCAGTCTTGCATTCGTTCCTGGGCCGGGCGATATGGAAGTGTTTCTCGTTCATACGAGATAAATCCCCGATGCTTAACAGCGTCCGGAATTTTTGTTGGCCGCGCTTTGGCCGGAGTCTGAAAACAAGGCAAGCACGTCAGAGTTGAAGGCGACATGAATATTCAATTTTACCTCGGCTACTGCAGCCGCTCCTCCGTTGGTAGCTGCTTCAGCCATTTTCTTCAATTCCTGGAAAGCATCCACAGCGGCCAGTCGCGCTTCCTCCTCCTCTGCCGCTCTTTTCTTGGCCTTCTCCTCGTTGAGAGCTCTTTTGTAGTCGCGAGGGAAAACTTTCACGAAC